CAAGACTTTATGAGGAAGAAAGGCTTCGGTGAGGACTTCAAGCAGCTGGAGTCCTTCTACATCCAGACGTGAGGAGGGAAGGAGGGCGGGTGGGGTCCCTTGGGGGTCCTCCTGTGGGGTCCTCCCTTTCCATACCAGAGTCAGGCCCTGCTTGGCCACTGTCTGGCCCCTGCAGGGTTCCCTTGTCCTTGGTCCCATCCTTTCAGGTTTGGAGTGGTCAGCTTCCCACCCTGGGGAAAGACACTGCTTAATGAGGAATAGGCCCCTGGCCAGGCTTAACCCCTAGAGCGCTGGCACAAAAAGTCTAGAGCCCGTCTGAGCTAAGCAGACACTTACGAGACACTCCTCTCCTCTCCAGGCTGCTGGACATCGTCTCTTCTTATGGCAAGGGCTATGTGGTGTGGCAGGAGGTGTTTGATAATAAAGTAAAGGTGAGCCGGGGCAGAGAAGAGAAGAAGCCACTGGTGGTGCCTCCCTCTGGTCTCCCCAGCTCCTCCCTGCCTCTACAGAGACTGAACCTCCTGGTTTGGATTGGGCTTTAATGGTCAGAGCACTCTCCTTTTCTCTCTAGAAAGGCCACAGAGTGCTGGGTGCAGTGGCTCACGCCTGTAATCCAAGCACTTTGGTAGGCCAAGGCGGGTGGATTGCTTGAGCCTAGGAGTTCAAGACCAGCCTGGCCAACATAACGAAACCCTTGTCTCTACAAAAAATACAAAAATCAAGAGACTGAGGTGGGGGTACTGCTTGAGCCCAGGAGGCACAGGTTGCTGTGAGCCCAGATGTGCCACTGCACTCCACCCCTGGGCAACAGAGTGAGACCCTGTCTCAAACCAAAGGCCGCTGTGGTATGAGCCCTGGGTTTATGTGTCAGAGTTTCTATCTTCCCTCACTACAAACCTGATTAAGAACTATTTCTGGGCTGGGTGTGGTGGCTCATGCCTATTATCCCACCACTTTGGGAGGCCGAGGCGGGCGGATCACGAGGTCAGGAGATCGAGACCATCCTGGCTAACATGGTGAAACCCCGTCTCTACTGAAAAAAATACAAAAAATTAGCTGGGCGTGGTGGCGGGCGCCTGTAGTCCCAGCTACTCGGGAGGCTGAGGCAGGAGAATGGTGTGAACCCAGGAGGCAGAGCTTGCAGTGAGTGGAGATCGTGCCATTGCACTCCAGCTTGGGTGACAGAGCAAGACTCCATCCCCCCAAAAAAAAAAAATTTCTGCTGCTAGGTTACTTGGATAGGCTGGATTTTTCTTCCTAAATCATAGATTAGGGTCTTCTGGGTCTGTGGGACCAAGGCTACCTTCTCCTTTATTGTTGATCAGTAAGATCCCACTCCTGTCACATGCAAGGACTCTTCAGGAGCCTTGTCCCATTCCCAGAATCATCTGGAGACTTTTGGACATGGCAGATCCTGAGTCCCCCTGCTTGCCTCCCTCAGCTCACAACTGGTATTACTGTGTGGACAGGGAGGTTGCAGAGGGACGGAGAGGAGAGCTGCAGGGAGGCCTCTTAGGGCCCTGGGTTCCTTGGCGTCTGTCCTGAGGTGTGAGCTCAATGGTCAGGAGTCACAGAGACATACTTTGCTGCTGGGGAACAGAGGGAGCACACACCTGTTGTCCTACGTTGCCTGTGTATGAATAAGGCCCAGGAATCTCCTCAGCTTTGTGTCCTTACTGCCATTTGACCTTTTATAACAGATTCGGCCAGACACAATCATACAGGTGTGGCGAGAAGAGATTCCAGTGAACTATATGAAGGAGCTGGAACTGGTCACCAAGGCTGGCTTCCGGGCCCTTCTTTCTGCCCCCTGGTACCTGAACCGTATATCCTACGGCCCTGACTGGAAGGATTTCTACATAGTGGAACCCCTGGCATTTGAAGGTGAAAGCAGGGAGCTCTCCTTGCTGACCAAAGGAGGCTGGGCTGGGGCACAGGATGGGAGGCAGGAAGGTCTGGGCCAGACATTTCCGATTAGTAAATGAAACAACTTAGCTGGAGTGAGGGCCACGTTGTGAAGGTGGTTGAGACGGACCCTAGAGTTACCCCACCATCACCAGACTGTTGTTGCTTGTTTTCCCTCAGGTACCCCTGAGCAGAAGGCGCTCGTGATTGGTGGAGAGGCTTGTATGTGGGGAGAATATGTGGACAACACAAACCTGGTCCCCAGGCTCTGGTAAGGGTTTTCGGGGGAAGGTGGAGGGTTGGACCTGAGAGCAGGGGTTCTCCCTTACAGACCCAATCCCATCTAGCCACCTCTGGCCTAGTACCCTCCTTTCAGGCCTGAGAGAGAGCAGGCCGTGCGACGAGCCTTCTGAAGATTTGTGTGCAATATTCACTCTCCACATGACTTCCATCTATATCCCTCCAGCCACCCGTTAGGTATGTGGGATAGGGATTGTTAACCTCACTTCCCAGAGAGATAATGAGGCCTGGAGAACATCGGTGACTTGCTCAGGATCCAGCACAAGCATCCATGATTCCTGTAATAAGCCTTCTCTCTGCTCTTTTCACTGCAGCCTTACCAAGTGTGGTTGGTTGTGCAGAGTTTACATTTTAAAGACATCTGCTGCTGTCACTGTCATTGTGGTTAATGATGCCTTTAAGGTTTATTCTTATTCCCGTATCTTTGAGAGAGGAAGAGAGTGGGATTGCTACCGACATTTTAATGAAGGTGTAGCTGAGCCCTAGAACTTTCAGGGAGCCATCCAACCTGACTGTAGCTCATAACAAGGTATTGATCACTTCCTTTGGCCTGAGCTAGTCCAGGGCACTTAGACAAGAGGTAGCAGCCTATGGATGTCCAGCACCTTTGCAGGGAATACAGAACCCAGTCTGGCACATGCCCCCTTTCCTCCAGGCCCAGAGCAGGGGCTGTTGCCGAAAGGCTGTGGAGCAACAAGTTGACATCTGACCTGACATTTGCCTATGAACGTTTGTCACACTTCCGCTGTGAGTTGCTGAGGTAAGCAAGCTGTGGGGCCTTCGTAAGGCAGGGTAGGGCAGATCCAGGGCTGGGGAACCCCTTAGAGAGAGGAAGAGAATAATAATAATAGCTAACACAGAGGCTTATAGTCGGCCCTCATCCATGGATTCCACCAACTGCGATAAAAAGTATTCAGAAAAAAAAATACAACAACAAAAAAATACAAATAAAAAATACTGTATAACAACTATTTACATAGCATTTATATGTATTAGGCATATGTAATCCAAGATCATTTCAAGTATATGGGAAGTTGTACATTGGTTATATGCAAAAATACTATGTCATTTTTATATAAGGGACTTGAGCATCCTTGGATTTTGGTATCCACGGGGGTCCTGAAACAAATCCCCTGTGGATACTGAGGGACAACTGTATTTTGTGGCAAACACTGTGCTAAATTTGTTACACATATTGTCTCATTTAGTCTTCACCACAACCCCGTAAGATAGGTGCATTTTTGTCCCCACATTTTGAGATAGACACTGAAGCACAGAAGTTCAGTACCTTCCCCAAAGTCACTAAGAAGCAGGATTTGAACTAGGCTGACTTACAGGATCTCATGACACCTTTGCCTCTGTCAGGATGTACCTGTGTGAGATAGTCATTTCCCTGATTCCTTCGTTGGCTAGGTCTTGAGAACTTGGGGGACATAGCCTAATGCAGAGCAGAGTCCTGGGCTGAGAGTCAAGCATGGTGACGTCTAAGCCTCAACTATGTCATTCACTGGGTAACTTCCAGCTGGTTCTCTAAGCATGTTGCTTACTTGGATAATAAGGGAAGCATGCCTAGATGTCCCCTAAGGAGATTGGTCAGGTTATAGTCTGAGACCCAAGGACAGGAGCTCACGTCCATATTCATGGACAGGACAGCACCTAAGTCCCCCAATGCCACCACATTTACGGCGTTTTAGAATCAGGAACAGAGGGCTAAGTAGGCCAGGAGCGTTGGCTGCTTTTCAGACATCTACCTATTTTCCAAAGGGATTGAGTTATTTGGGGTTAGGGTACAGAGATAGGCAGGATAGAAATAGATGTTGCCAATATTTCTGGATCTCCAAGACCTGTATCAAAATCACATGAGACACCTGTTCAGCTTGCAGATTCTTGCCCATACTTTGCCCCACCCCAAGTGAGAATCTGTGGAATTGAGATCCCCAGGTACATCTGGTGTACAGTGACAGTTTGAGAGTCACCGAAATGGGGAAGGAGAGACTGTTGACGGGTGTGAAAAGTGTTGCTGGGGCCCCTTCTGAGGGGCTTATCTTGCCATTTCTTCATGTCCTCCTGCAGGCGAGGTGTCCAGGCCCAACCCCTCCATGTAGGCTACTGTGAGCAGGAGTTTGAACAGACCTGAGCCCCAGGCACCGCGGAGGGTGCTGACTGTAGGAGAATGGTAGTGGAGCCAGGCTTCCACTGCATCCCGGCCGGGGCACGGAGCCCCTTGCCTGCGTGCCCCTTGCCTGCGTGCCCCTGTGCTTGGAGAGAAAGGGGCTGGTGCTGGCGCTCACATCCAATAAAGAGTAACGTGGCATTTTTCTATAATAAACATGGATTACCTGTGTTTTTTAAAAAAAAAAAAAAAAAAAAAAAAATGTGAATGTCCTTAGGGTAAGGGCACAGCCAGGCTGGAGTCAGTATCTGCCCCTGAGGTCTTTTAAGTTGAGGGCTGGGAATGAAACCTGTAGCCTTTGTGCTACTCTGCTTAGCCTGTGAGCTATGTCACTCCTCTCCCACTCCTGAACATATTCCAGACACCTGCCCTAATCCTCAGCCTGCTCACTTTACTTCTGCATTACATCTTCAAGGCGTTGGTATATGGAAAAACATGAAGGGGCTTGGAGGCGTTCTGGTCAGTGAGGAGGGCTCCAGACCCAACCTGGTCATAGAATAGCCTCTCTCCCATGCATACTCATCCACTTCTCTCCCCTAGAGCTATTCTCCTTTGGGTTTCTTGCTGCTTCAATTTCATACAACCATTATTTAAATATTATTAAACACATATTGTTCTCTAGGCACTGTGGTAGTGAGTTTTTTTTATGTTTTTGTTTTTGAGACAGAGTCTCACCCTATCACCCAGGCTGACAGTGTAGTGGCACAATCTTGGCTCACTGCAGCCTCTGCTTCCTGGGTTCGAGCGATTCTCATCCATCAGCCTCCTGAGTAACTGGAATTACAGGCACGCACCACCACGTCCAATTCACTATATTGGTCAGGCAGGTCTTGAACTCATGACCTCAGATGATTGCTTGCCTTGGCCTCCCAAAGTGCTGGGATTAGAGGCGTGAGCCGCCGCACTCGAGCCTGTGGTAAATTGTTGGATTTGAAGGACTCAAGAGGCTCTGGTCAATTCCAAAATAACGCAGACGACTTCCATCGCCTTCCTCCCAACCACTTTCAGCCCAAAGCATATTCGCAGGGAATGGATGGTGGTGTGGAGGGTGTGGAGGTGGGCTGTGGCTCTGGAGAGGGTCTTTGCAGGTGTGATTTTCTCTAGAAGGAAATGTCTCCTCGTGGACCCAGACTGCCCCCTGGTGGTTTCAAGTGCAGAAGTGACACTGTAGGCCAGAGGCGGCAGCAGTAATGCATCGCAGCCATTTTAGGTGAGGATTTCCTTGACTGTTATTTGTTAAGTTCTTTGGCTGGGCCCTGGCCTGGGGGTACAATGGACAGGTTTCAGGTATTTTTTTCAGAAAGCTTCCAGTGTAGTGGATACAGAAACTTGGGGAAGGCAGGGCTGAGAAGGATCTGAGTAAAACTCGGTCCTTCAACACCATCCTTCAGACCCTGGGTCATGTTCCTTCGAGGTCCTGGTGGGAGGTAGACCAGCCTAGCCTTGTGCTCTTCCTGTAAGGATAGGATGGGCATTTTCTACCAATAGAATTCTTGGAATTTTCACACAGCCCAGCCTAGCCAAGTCCAGGGCTATAGCCCAGATATACATAAGTTAAGGTCCCAGCACTGGCACCCACCACAGGAGCCCCCTTACCTCTATTACTCAGAAGCTTGTAGGAGGGGTGGTCCCCAGACAAGGACCCTGCAGAGGTGCAACCCTGCTTCCATCCTGGTCATAACTTTCACGTTACTATTGCTTGGGATAATGTTAAATAAAAATAGCAGACACTGAGTTTTAAGTCTCAAGTGAATGAAGGCAGAGATTGTGATACACTTGAGTTAAAGCAGTAAAGTTCTGTCATTTTCTATTCCTGTTGTAAACATTTTCTTTAATGTTATTATTTTTACTACTAAATTAACGTGGCCTGGTCACGACCTTCATTGGTAGAGTGCTGTTCCTCAACTCCACCGTTGCTCCTTTGGTCCATTGATCATGAGAGCATTTACCTGAAGGTCATCAGACCTCGAATGCCAACAGGTCAGAGGCAGTGGCCTGCAGTTACCACCCAGACTGTTCCAATGCACAGAATCGCTGTTTCCCCAACTCATCTCCCTTCACCTAGGCTGCAAATTGGAGAGTCCCACCCCTGAGCGGAACACAGGCAGCCTTGTGTGCTGTGCACCGCCAGGGGGTGGGGAAGTTCCCAGATTGACTTCCTGGCTCCAGTCATCCTAGGAAAAGAGTTCTCCAGTCGCTCCCCACTCCCACCCCTTCCCATTCCAGGAGTCTATTAAGGAGGCAAAGCAGACCTAACGGGTATCAAAGCAAAGGAGTGAATGGAGACTGGGAGAATCTTCAACCTCCCCTCTCGGTAGGAGCTGAGGCTGCATACCAGGTACTGTTCCTTCTAGGAATCCATTAAGTTACATCACTGGTGTTTTCAGGTGCATCTCAAAGGATTACCGTAGGGATAGGATATCAGGATGTGGGAGCACAGGTGCCACCACAGCACTAGTGATGGAGAGTCATTACCCCTAGACTTCTGGAACTGTGAGGAAAGCCGAAAGATACTGGGAAAGGGTGAAAGAAAGGATGTAGGTGGAATTTATTTAGTACTAATGTAGGTACACATGCCTTATGGCAACTAGCACTCTAAAATCTAGATTTGTATAGTTTTTGTCGATATCTTTTGTAAGCTTAATCAATACAGGGCATGACAAGTATGTGTCACATACTTTTTTCCCACAAAGAAAAAAACATAAGTAGGAATTGGGTGCTTTGTTTATCAAAATTATTCTGTATTTCCTTTATAAATAAATAAACTTTGAAATAAAGGTTGAAAATTAGTATCTTTTCTAGCCCAGCCACTGTTGTTTTTAAAAATCCTCTTTGAAGCAGGTGTGTGTGTGTGTGTGTGTGTGTGTGTGTGAGACTACGTTTTTCAACAAAATTTTTAAAAATCGCAATGTCAGGGCCATGTGCAGTGGCTCATGCCTCTAATCCCAGCACTTTGGGAGGCCGATGTGGGAGGATTGCCTGGGCTCAGGAGTTAAAGACCGTCCTGGGCAACATGGTGAGACCTCATTTCTACTAAAAATTAAAAAGATTAGCTGAGAATGGTGGTGTGTGGTTATAGTCCCAGCTACTCAGGAGGCTGAGAAAGAAGGATCACTTCAGCCTGGAATATTGAGGCTGCAATGAGTCATGATCGCAGCACTGCACGCCAGCCTTGGCAACAGGGTGAGACCATGTTTCAAAAAAAAGAAAAAATTGTAAATGTCCAGGAACCTTGCTTTTTTCACAGTAATTACTGTACTCTAACCACACCCATGTTTAGTCTAAACTACCCCAGTAAATACTCCTATTTTTTGCTGATTTCAAATGTTTCAAGCAACAGAAAAGTCTGGAAACTAGTAAACAGTGTAACCACCCAGCTTTGTTGCATCTCAATAGTCATATTTGCTTCAGATTTGTTTTTTTAAAACAAAAAAGATGAAACATTAAATTATTAATATCGCCCTTCCCTATGCTATTCCCTTCTCCAAAAACAACTATTTTCCAGAATTTCTTTTTAATCTCATTTCCTCTGGAGAATCTGACACTTAACTGTGATTTTTTTCATCATTGTTAATAAATTCTTTATGGCTCACTCTTTATAGCAAATTAGAGATGTTTTGGAAGCCACTCAAAAAAGGGAGTGTGTGTGGGAAAGGAGGAAGAGCAGCTGGCAGGCAGACACGGGTAGGAAGGGGTGCCATGCTCGCTGGTGCGCTGCAGTGAGTGAGAGCGTGTGGCTGGGTGTCTGGATGATCTATTACGAAAGAGGATATTTGAACATAGGAACTCAGAGAGAACTGCTGGTATTTATCTAGACTCACATGAGTCAGAAATCTGAATGAAGATAGATGTGGAGATCCAGCTAGGAGAACAAAAGTGCTTCGTCATTTTTATGTGCTTGCTGTGTCAGGCACTTCTTTTTTTTTTTTTTTTTTTTGAGACAGATTCTTGCTCTTGTCACCCAGGCTCGAGTGCAGTGGTACAATCTGGGCTCACTACAACCTTCACCTCCCGAGTTCAAGCAATTCTCCTGCCTCAGCGTCCCAAGTAGCTGGGACCACAGGCATGTGCCACCACACCTGGCTAATTTTTGTATTTTTAGTAGAGACGGGGTTTTACCATATTGGTCAGGCTGATCTCAAACTCCTGACCTCAGGTGATCTGCCCACCTCGGCCTCCCAAAGTGCTGGGATTACAGGCGTGAGCCACGACGCCCGACCTGTCAGGCACTACTATAAGCACTTTACTGGATGTTAATGTATTTAATCCTCATCCCAACCAATGTTGTGTCAATATTATCCTCATTTGACAGATAAGGAAACAAACATAGGAAGGTTAAGTGACATATGGTTACACAGCTACGCTGAGTCCCGATTTGCACTGGGGGGTTGCAGGGGATATGATTCGTAGCTCAGCTACCTAACTCTAGCCCCTACTGCCGTCAACCACTGTCCTGGGCTGCCCCACGTCAGACATCTTCCTCCTCTTGGACACCAAATACAGACATACAGATAAAGCTGGCAACTCAACTATTTCTGGGCTCAAATCCATTTCTTCTCCTATGTTTAAACTAAATTGAAACCTCTCGTTCCTGCTTTTATGAGTCAAGTTGCGTGGAAACAATTGCCAAGTTTGTCTGTTTCACCACTTTCCATTCAGGCCTCATGATCCTGCAGTTGGGCTGTAATCCTCATAAGGGCTGCTTCCACTAAGGCCAACAATAACCTACATGTTGCCAAATCAAGGGACATTTCTCAATAATAAGGAAAACAATTACTTGATCTTTTCTCAGATTTTATCCCTCCCTCTTTGAAATTCTTTCTTCGCAGGCTTCTGTGACACCATTCTTTCCTGAGTTTCTCAATGTCTATCACTGACTCCTTCAGTAAACTCCCAGCCCATAACCAAGGTTTTGTCTCCTATTTTTTTTTTTTTTTTCCTCTTTGAGACAGAGTCTCGCTATCTCGCTCTATTGCCCAGGCCGGAGTGCAGTGGTGCAATTTCGGCTCGCTACAACCTCCGCCTCCCAGGCTTAAGCGATTCTCCTGCCTCAGCGTCCCGAGTAGCTGGAACTACAGGTGTGCGCCACCACACTAGGCTAATTTTTTTGTGTTTTTGTAGAGACAGGGTTTCGCCATGTTGGCCAGGCTGGTCTCAAACTCCTGAACTCAGGTGATCAGCACACCTCAGCCTCCCAAAGTGCTGGGATTACAGGCGTGAGCCACTGCACCTGGCCTTTCCTCTTATGCTTTCTTCTTAGTTATCTCATTTACAGTTAGACAGTCTTAGTGTACAGCCTTATACCTGGACAGCCATAGGTAGGTAGGTAGGTAGGTAAGTAGATAGATTAGATAGATTAGACTAGATAGATAGATAGATAGATAGATAGATAGATAGATAGATAGATAGACATATACATAATATATGTATGTGTATTTCCTCTGGGCTCCAAGCTGAGGTAGCCAACGTCTTCATATCATCTGAATGTCCATTACATACTTAAAGCTCATGTCCCAGGCAGAATTCATCTCTTCATAGCTCCCTACTCTATTCCTCCTGTACGACTATTCTGCTGGTCATTAGAGCCGAAGTCTGGGAATCATCTTTAACTCCTTCCTTCCTATCATAATTGTCACCACGACATCCCTACTCTGTATAAATAACTCTTAGATTCATGTATTCCTCTCTATCTACACTGCCACCATCTTTATTTAGGATCCTAATGAATGCATCTGCCTCAGTTCTTCCAGTCGTCTTTTTAAACTGCAAGTCAGTTTGTGTGTTTCCTGCTTTGCCCCATTGTCCAATTCACTCAGAAGTATACGCCAGTCTTCCTCTTCAAGATGATGCCTTTGACCACTCAATAATCATTTCCTGACACTCCACCTATATTAGTTACAAGGAAATAGCTCAAACTGGATTATGCAAAAAAAGATATAACATTGTGTCATGTTATACATCTCCACATACACATTCAAAATTCTGACTTATGTCAGCCTAGATAAACATTAACAGAAGTACATAATTATGAGACCCCAGGGATAAATCTATTAAAAGACATAAGGACTTTGCGGAGAAAATTACTAAATTTTGGAAAGACACAGAAGATAGAGATGTAGAGATAGAACATGTTCATGAAAGAGAAGACTCAATATTCATAAGGATTTTAAATTTATCTGTGGGTTCAATGTGGTTCCTATTAAAATGCAATTTTCTTTTTATTTTGGAACTTGAAGCTGATTTTAAAGTAAGTGCAAATCTTTTTTGGAGTAGGGGAAACTTGAAGCTGCTTTTAAAGTAAGTACAAGAATACCTAAGAATAATGAAAAAGTCAATTTTTAAGAAGAGAAAAATAAGCTGGGCGCAGTGACTCACGCCTGTAATCCCAGCACTTTAGAAGGCCGAGGCGGGTGGATCACTTGAGGCCAGGAGTTCGAGACCAACCTGGCCAACATGGCGAAACCCTTTCTCTACTAAAAATACAAAAATTAGCCAGTCGTGGTGGCACATGCCTGTAATCCCAGCTACTCAGGAGGCTGAGGCAGGAGAATTGCTTGAACCCGGGAGGCGGAGGTTGCAGTGAGTTGAGATTGCACCACTGCATTCTGGCTTGGGAGACAGAGCAAGACTGTGTCTCAAAATAATAATAATAATAATAATGAGAGAAAAATGTACAACATGGAATAGAGTTGATATCCAGCCAGTATACACTTTGAGTGATCTCATTTACACTCAGATGTAATGTGAGTTACACTACAGCCTGAGTTCAGGACTGCAGTGATCTATGATTGCAGCATTGCACTGGAGCCTGGCCAACAGAGTGAGACCCTATCTCTTAAAAATTAAAAAATAAAAATAAGTCATTATAAAAGTGTAATTATCAAAACAGTTGGTATTGGTGCAGAAATAGACAAAAAGCCCATAAAACAGAATGCGGAATCCAAAAAGAGGCTTATCCATATACAGAAACCTGAAAATGTGCAGAGGTTATGTAACAAATTGGGAGACTTCAGATTCTTGTAGGAACATGGTAGAAACCTGGTTTTTAATCTTCCAACTTCTGTAAAAACCATAAAGAGCAACAAGGTACATTTAAAAACAAAAAGGCACAAACTAGTGAAACAAGAAGGGAGAGCCTAAAGACTCCAAACTACCTGAATTTAATGCTAATCACTGGTTCAGGAAAATTCACTTTATTCAAATTTTCTTACATTTATTCAAATATAAGTAAAAATACTACAGATATACATACAAGAAAAAGATAAAAATTTCAAAAATTAAGGCTGGCCGGGTGCAGTGGCTCACGCCTGTAAACCCAGCACTTTGGGAGGCCAAGGT